TGCTGGAGGCGATGGCGTTGGCCTGAACTGGACGTTGGTTCCCAAAATTCAGAATGGTATAGGGATGTTTTCGGCTGTTTCCGAAAATCATGGCATCGGTATCGCCCCCAGGTTTAGGGGTACCCTCAACATTGAAGTCCCCTAAACCTATGTGACGTGTATGCATCCCCTGAAGATCTCCCTGTAGTATCCCATCAATCGAGCCATGAAAGTTATACCCCTGCTCCATCCCATGAAATACAGGTTTATTTGTCTCGGTATCCCGTTAGTTATGGACTATGTCATAATCTCCAATCAACCACGTAGGTTCATAACCCCCCAAAAGAAGATCAACTTGTATTTGCAGGATGCTAGTTCGACGTTTTCCGTAGCCTTTTCTATGTGACTTCTTGGGGGTTGCTATATTAACCAATCAACAGGGGGTATAACTCACCCCCATCACCCACCATGCCTGGCACAGAGAGAAGAGCAACAGGACGTGTAGGACCTGTTCCATCAGCAGAAATCAGCCATTTTTTTTTCACATCTTGATGTTTATATTACTTTGAGGATCTAATTGTTTCTGTATGTCTTGAATATTCTTGAATGAAGTACTTGCGAATTCTATAAGCATTGGAATCCACTAACCACTTACCCTCTTCTAATCAGGAACATCCCCGAATTAGTTCGATGATTTACCTAGACTTTTCAACCTGCATGATATTTTCCAACATCTTCCAATGTGTGTTTAGATGCTCCAATAGGTTTCCCATCAAAACCCTCCATTTTTGATGAGCTTTTCTGCCAAGCTGCCGCCTTCATCGCGTGTCTCTTGGACTCTGCATCGACCTGGTAAATGGCTAGTGGAAAGGGAAATCACTAGTTTTTTGCTTCGGAGACACATCTGGTGTCCAAATGAATTTCTTCATTGTAGATCCATCGCTGGCACGATCAAACTGATGCCACCCGGAGAAGAGAACAGCGGCGCCACGCCTGCGGGCCGTGCAAGGCGATGCGATCGGCCCACCCCTCTCGGTCAAGAAGCTTTTGGCGAAATCAAAGAACTTGAGCCAAGAATGGCTGTCACATTGCAAGGACCGCGACCAGGATGGCTTTGGATCAAACCTCAAGTACCTTCTGAAGTGGAAAAATAGATATAGCTGGCATTTACGGACGTTCATTCTCCAAATGTTAGAAACCAGAGCAAAAACAAAGGTTTTGACATGTTTTGACACATCCCCAAATTGCCATCAAATATGCGTTTAATGATTCATTCTTGCTGCTTTAGACCACCCCGAGACATGATTTATACCTTTGTGTTGATTGCTTACACCCCCTTAGACAAAAACTGACATGTCCAGTCATACCATCACTGTCGGGTGTTTTTTGGATGGTGTTCTGTCACCGTGATCGCTTTGCTCTGCAAAAAAAATATATAGATGGAATGTGTGTAAAATAATCATAGAAGAATCATAATATATGCATGTAACATGTATGTATATATAGTCTAGTAAGTAAATTATCATGATAATCAAAGAGTGACCAGGAACAAAGATGATGAATTGATGAATACACACATCAAGTAGCAATCAATAGTTAAATTCCCAATTCATGGTTCGTATATAATTATCCTTAGCATCCCTTCAAAGATACAATTGTCTCAAAAAATATTGAGAAACCAAGACCAATGATACCCAACATCACCATCAAGTATGTACCTATATCCTTGGTGGCTCATCCCACTTAGTAGGTTAGTTCACCCTTGTTATTTCAGTGGATTAACCCTACTTATCCCACTGAAAAAAACAGGTATATAACCTACTTAGGATGAACCACCAAGCAACCATTCCCTAGATCTTTATTGGCTATTATACAATGGTGATATTTAACCATATATTTTCCCAGTATTAACCATTACTAACCACAAAAGGACATCATTATCCCATCATTATCCCATGATTATCCTATTATCATCCTATTTTCCTATCACTATCCCATCATTACCCTCTGGTAATTTAACATAACTATGGAAAATCACTATAGAAATAGTGAATTTTCCCATTAAAAATGGTGGATCTTTCCATAGTTATGTTAACGTTTACCAGAGGGTTAAATTGCATTGTCATCCCATTATTCACCATTGTTAACCATAGAAAATCACCATTCATAGTGGTTAAATCACCATTTTCCTATGGTTTTCCTATGGTTTACCACCATCTTTCTCCCTGCGTCCACGGCTTTTTTGGGACCTACCGCGTCACCAGGAATTCGGCATCCTGCGCTGCAAGCAGCAAGGGCTGCGTGAAACGACCTCAAAGTCAAAGCCGCCGTATTCGGCAAAAAGGGCAGTGGTGAAGCTATAAACAGGTATGATTATATGTACATATATACATACATAAGTAAAATAAGTATATATTGTATATATATATATGTGTATATATATATGCATACATGTGTAAGTTCAGTCAGCCTATATATTTAAGTTATACAACTGGGTTATAATTTAATATAGCCTATTTAGAAAGACATATGGTTCATAACCCATTTACAATCAACCCCAGTATACAATCTGACGCTGACTGGGGGATGTTCCATAATTCTAATTGGCTTCGGAAAAACAAAAGAAATATAAAGAAATGTCATAAGCCTGGGGAAAAGCCATATTCCACTTGGGGACCAGTTTAAAATATGGATTAAGTTATATCTATACATGTAGATATGGATCATATGACCCATTCTTTTATCTGACTGGGGATGACCCTTTTTTGGAGCTGGGTGAACTAAGATGGTTGCTTTTCACTCATGATTCCTGGCACACCCAAGAGCCTTTGGAACGTTGAATCAATGGTTACCCAAAAACACGACCTGTTTCAACACCATTTCCGTTACTGGAAAGTACCCCGCAGTGAAAACTTGAAACCCAAAAAGATGTGGAAAACCCATGGAGAAAACCATTCGGAAAATGATCGTTTCATTCATGGTGGGTTTTCCACATCTGTGTTACAGTAGTTTGCAGGAGGGTAACATCTTACAGACTCAAGATCTTTGCTGAATGTCAATCCTAGTTTTGCCATTTCAGTTTGCCAAGAACAACAAGCCGCCATATACATACTCTAAAATCAAAATGATAGAATCCTAGTTAGGGGTGTCAGTTCCACTAAGAAGTTGTTGTATAACCTAGCTATTGGTTATATCCCAACTTACCTATTATTACCAGCGTCGTGCCCATTAATAACCCCAACTGCTGGGGTATCAAAATTTTCCCAAATCCAACGATAACTGTGTAAATTGTGCCAAACCCTTGGATTTGTGGCAGGCTATCGCGTGCGTTTGTTCGTAATTCTAGACCAATACGGACACGCCAGTTGTTTGTTTATTTTTGAGTATTGACCCATGCCCCATGCCCATATAGCCGTGTCAACGTCGTGGCATCCTGAATGTTCATATCAACTGTATTGACGTTCATCTGCAAAACATAGTATCACGGGTCTCGATGTGTCCCAAGATTGCCATGGGATATTCCTGTTCTATGTTTTTCATTCTTGTTGCTTGATACTCCATTGATGTCTGGTGGACTTATTTTAAAAAAACTACCCTGAAAATTGCTGAAACTTGCTGCCATTTGGGGACGATCTATGTGGCCCCATCATTCCAGTGACGGAGGACTGTCTGTGAGGTCATGATCAAATTCATCCAAATATACCCGGCCAGGTAAACTAACAGGTTGCTATTGAAAATGGCCATTTATAGTGGATTTACCCATTAAAAATGGTGGATCTTTCCATAGTTACGTTAGTTTACCAGAGGGTAGATCGTTGCAAGAACCAAATCGGTCTCATTCCTTATGATGGTGAAGTGCCAATGTCTGATGGTGAAAAGTCCCACAAAATCTTATTGTAAGACCAGCATTTCTTGCTGCTCAAGTCCCAGCTTCTCCGATTGAATTCCCTACTGTTGCTGATAAAACCCCGGGATTTCTGCGACATTTCGCCATGGGTCAAAAAGGGTCAAAACTTGGCGCGTCCTACCTATAGTTCACCCCGAAAAATTGTAGCTTTTCATGGATGTTCATTCAAAATCGATGGAAAAAATGCTAGGTTTTGACCCAGCTCCTGCGGCATCCAAGTCACCATCTGGCTGCACTTCCACCTCGTCAGTGCCACCCAAAGGCACCAAACGCGTGAGGCTCGGCAACGGCAGGGCAGAGGGCACCTTGTTGGACTTCGCGATGCTATGTGGGCCATGGGGAAGGAACATATCAGTTATGGTACCCTCTGGTAAACATACAAAAAGCTATGGAAAATCAACATGTTTAATGGCTAATTCAGCTATAAATGGCAATGTTCAATAGCTATCCCCCTAGAACATGAAATTTACCCTGTGACCTGCAGAATCCCAATAGAAATCCCAACTGCTGTCGCAACCTGCAAAACATCACCATTTGTGAAGGGGGCTTGTTTTTCGGAACAATCTGTACACAACCCATGGGGTTTTTCCCGTGTCAAGTCTACGGAATTCTTGCCAAATTGATTTCCCTGGATCCAACTCTAGACTTAAAATCTGATTCAGCAGGAGTACGCGAAAATTGAAGGATTGTTGGTTTGAAGAAACATGGAGAAATACTGCTTGGTGGTTGCTGCTAACCCCTCTGAAAAATGATGGAGTGAGTTCGTCAGTTGGGATGATGACATTCCCAATATGATGGGAACGTCATAAAATTCCATGGTTCCAAACCACCAACCCAGGTGTTTCGATCATCCCGTGGATAAATTTGTTGCTAAAAATCTGGATGGCTGCTGTTGAAATGCAGAGCTTTGGTTCGAAAAAAATCACACTTGATGATTGTTGAATCATGTTAAATCCCTTCACATCTTTGCTAGACCATTGCTATTTGCCCAATAACTGACCTACTTCGGATAAGCTTCACCCAAGTTTCTCCCTTTTCCAAAGGTGGTTCTTCATTTTCCCAGCATTTTTCCGATGGTTCAACCCTTCAACCCCCGGACCACCAGGGTTTCCACCTTCACCGCTTCACGGCAGAGGTTCAGCAGCGCCATGCCCAGCAGTTTCTCACCGTCCCTCAGTGCCAGCAGCAGCAGCACCGGTGGCGCTGTGGCTTTCTCGTAGCGGAGTACCACCTGATCGTGACTTGGGGATATCATTGGTGACTTGGGAATATCATGAAAAAATGTGGTTAAAACAATGAAAAATAAACCACCCATGACTGGGAATGGTAAGGTTATACCACCTGCAAGAATGGTGATGACTGGGGGATGATTTATGACATTATTTCAACCTCATTACCATGTTTACATTGGTGAAATTTCATGGATGAAACTCACGATCCAACATATGAAAACAAATCGGCCCATACTTTGATGATTCAAGACGAGTGGGACTTTTGAAGGCTGAAATGTGCGATCGAAGTGGCTGTGGGATCATTTTGGGACAGCTACCCCAATCCGAACCACAGCTGACGTCGCACCGTCGCGACGTAAGGTCGTTAGAATATCTGGATGAATCCATCTTAGTAATTATGCATTTCCCCATCAAATCCCATAAGCCACTATTGGTTATATCAATTATATAGCATTATCTCTGATTCAGTGTTGGTTATAGCCTCAGATTTCATTTGCATGAATGGGCATGACTCATCATGACTCCTTATTTCATGTTCTTTGTATTTTTTGCTGCTTAAATCAGTTATAGCTCTAAAAAATATCGTGATATCGTGAAAAATGCCTAATGTCCCCATAAAATCCCCATTCTTCTTGCTGAAATCACCATGTTCCTATGGTTTTCCTATGGTTTTCCTATGGTTTTCCTATGGTTTTCCTATGGTTTTCCTATGGTTTTCCTATGGTTTACCACCATTTTCCGATGGTTTTCCTATGGTTTTCCTATGGTTTACCACCATTTTCCGATGGTTTTCCTATGGTTTACCACCATTTTCCGATGGTTTTTCGATGACTTCCAGCACCAACACACCTCCGTGGCCGTGGCCAGCTCCATCTGCTGCCGGAAGCGCAGTGCGCGGCAGATCAGGGAGCTGCTCACCTGCTGGGAAGGCCCAAAAGGCCATGATTTTTATGGGATTTTCATGGTGATTCAATAGGAAAAAATGGTGATTTCATGGGATTTATCAGGGAAACCAACCATTTTACGGAAGATAATGGGAGTATAACTCGTAAAAACTTGATTTTGGACTGGTGGTTTAACAGGAGCAAATATGGCTTAATGAGAATTATTCATATATCTTATACAATGGTGATTTAATAGAGAAACATATGGCTGAATTAAATTCGAATGGTGATTTCATAGGGAACCAACCATCTTAAGGGATTTTATGTGATTATCTTTAACTCATCAACAATGAAATGGGGAATTGCAGCTGGCCAATTTGATCGGGGGAAGTATACAGAGCCTTCCTCAAGTTACCGTTACAATGGGCTTCCAGATATCTTGTTTATGTTGTTGTTTTTACTGGTAGGAAAATAATGTAACTACAATTTGTTGCTCTTACATCTAGAATGATCTACAAGTGTTTTTTGTCCCTTTCTATCTCGAGTTTCTGCAGGGGTGGACACGTGCAGTCAACTTCCTCACTGGAACGGACGCCTTCCTGGTTTTCTTGGGTGAAATCTAGCTATCCTCCAGTAAGCTGACACTTTTGCTATGGACATGTTCAATCGGTAAATGTCATGGTTATATGCAGGTAAAATTCATTCTTAATAGGTAAATCAATGCAAAGAATCTATAGATGAACCATGTTTTTTATAGCCATGTTGAATTGCCAAGGCTATTGGAATAGCCATTGTGCTTCTCCAAAAGATCGACCGCAGTGCAGGAGTCTCCTGCACCTAACTACTATCAACCAACAGTTTGGGCCTGGCGTAAAACAAAAAAGGCCCTTTTTATTTGGATAAACATCCAATGGCCATTTCAGGAACCTAAATTGGAGGTACCTACCATATATAAGGCCTATATAAGGCCTATGTAAGGGAATATCCCCACAAAATATGGTCTTATATGGTACTAACGTACCTCCATTTTAGGATCCTGAAATTCCCATTGATTTCAACATCACAATCAGCTACAGCTTGCAAACAATGACGGCCACGAGGACACGAGGGACACAAGTCGCATTCGCACTACATGTTGGTTAAATAACCAACAGATTTGTTAAATCATCCATTTTCAGCATATTGTTTATTGGTTCAACCCCAAATGTTGCATGTCAAATGAGGCAAAATTATGATAAATGCAAAGTTGTGTGCATAGCGTTTAAATTGTTGGTTTAATTCCCAAATGTTGCGCATGTTTGTTGGTTAAATCCCTATGTTTACATATTTTGTTGGTAGAATCATCAAATTTTACATGGAATCATATGAAATCCCAAATGTTTGGCGCACATGTGTTGTCAAAATCACCAAACATTGCAGATGGTCGATGATTAACTGCACTCTTTTGACATGTTTTTTACGGTCCAATCCCATGTTTCACATAAGTTTTGAAATGTTTTGAAGGTTAAGTCCTGAGTTCCCTTCATGTTTGATGGCTTTCATTCCCAATGTTCATCAAATTTCCATATGTCCCTCGTTTTTCACGGTGAAATTCCAAGTTTCCTTCGCTTTTCCCACGTTTTTCCCACGTCTCCCCACGTCCGCAATGCCGTTGTTTCCACCGTTGCCACCGCCTGCTGCTGCAAATCCTCGGGGAAGACCAAGACGCTGCCGTCATGCAGCGACAAAAGCCAGGCCCATTGCAGAGCCGCTGTGTCGCAGCCACCACCCAGGCCGTAATAAAGATTGGGATTCATCACCTGAGATGGGTCAAAACCCTGGTACCGTGCCGTGAACCCCAAGTCATAGCTGGGTTAAAATGGATGTGAATAACCCACTAAAAATGTATCTATAGGTATTGACCCATACCCACCTGAGATGGGGGTTAATGGTTTAACACTGGCTTAACCCTCTGGTAAATGGTGGTTTACCCTCTGGTAAATGGTGATTTCACCACTATAAATGGTGATTTAATGGTGATTGACTGGTGATGTAGTGGTTTAACAATGGCTTAACATTGGTGAATAATGGGATGATGATGGGATATACCCTCTGGTAAACGTTAACAAAAAACGATGGAAAATCACCATGTTATCAATGGGTAAATCCACTATTTCTATGGGCCATTTTCAATAGCTATGTTAAATGACCAGAGGGTAATAGTGAGTTAATCTTATGATAGAATGGAGATATAATTCTGAGATATTGGGATTCACCTACAAAAACTAGGTGAATAAAGGGTCAATATATTGGGAATAGATTCATGGGATACAATGGACTTTAGATGAATAAATCATGTGTCTTTGTTCGTCATGGCTTCGTTGGGATTCGTCCTCTGGGATCGGGGAGGAAAAAAAAATAAGCCACTGGATATTGATGCGATTGGACATAGGAATATTGATGGGTTTTTTTTAGTGAGTTCAGGTATAGTGTGATCTACTGGTGGTTGAGCCACCCCTCTGAAAAATGTGAGTTCGTCAGTTGGGATTATTAGTGCCAATATATGGAAAAATAAAAATGTTCCAGACCACCAACCAGTCTATATGTATATATATATACACAGATAAGCAATGCCCTGGTTTCATGGGTTAAGAATGGGTGAATAATGCTAGATAGTGGGGATATGTCACATATGTTCAAATAATGAGGTTTAAGACATAAACACTCCCAATTTTCATCACCTAATTACTGTAGAGATTGGTATTGATAAGTTTGGGATTTTAACCATCAAACATAGATTAACAATGGGGATATTTCATGAGGTTGGAAAACCATTTATTGGGATATGTCTGATAAAGTGGGATATCTAACCAACTTGTTTGAACGAATTTGGGATTGGAAAAATATACGGGGATAGGTTTAAAAAACTGTAGTGGGGATATTTCAGACATAGTGGAAAGTTATATATATATTATAATATATATATATATGTGTACATGTAACCAGCTTGAGTGTGGTTGGAAAACTATAGTGGTGATATTTCTGATATGTCGTCGGATTTTCCACCATTTTTCCACGGTGGATGTTGATATATTTTGGGATTCGTCACCTACAGCGGTTGCGTTTGGGTTTTGTGTTATACTAAGCAGTGCAATGGGGACACAATAGCTGTGACATACCAAAACGTTGGGACTTGGTTTTTGTTGACCGAAAACTGGACGTTTTACGGCTTGTAGAAATGTGATATAATGGAATACAATGGAATACAGAACCATCACCTGGCTGCTAGTCAATCTATAGATTGAACATTTTCCATAGGATTATACAAGTAGTTTTAAATATCTATGTAACGGTTTTACAATGACAAGAAACGGATGGATTATATAAACCAATTATGCACTTGAACTCTTGGATTCCTAGTGACGAACGACTTTCACTGGTGGATTTGGGTGATAGTTTGACCGTACTGACCATACTTGACCTATCTCAATCCATTTGTCAGAGGTTGCTGTAATCTTGTCAGCCCACCAAAAGACAATATCATTTGATTCTGCATTTTGAATAACCATTAATTTGACCTGAAATTTGATATCAAACTATACTTGTGAGGTCGGTCTGCCGATGTTTCGAGACTCTGATCCACCCATTGTTTCCTCATATGGAATATATCCTTGGCCGTACAATCCTGATTTTGAGAGTTCAATCCTAAGTTGTGATACTCAAATCTGTCAACAGTTCTATTTTTTCACAGTAAAATGCCGACTTTTCAGGAAACAAATCCTTATTTTTCATGGTGAAAACCACATTTTTTCACGGTAAAATCCCCTTTTTCGCCATCCGTGATCCATGTCTTCCCGTGCTTCGCCGCACCGTCATGGTTCCGCGCAAAGCGCACGGAGTCGGACGAGAGCGCGGAGCTGGGGAACTGCACGGCACCCTTGAGACCTGCGCTGGGGAGCCACTAGCTGATAATATGAGATGATATAGTAATATATAGTATATAAAGAAATCTCTGTATAGCTTGATGATGATGATGATGATGGTGATGGTGATGATGATGATGGTGATGATGATGATGATGGTGATGATGATGATGATGGTGATGATGATGATGGTGATGGTGATGATGATGATGATGGTGATGATGATGATGATGGTGATGATGATGATGGTGATGATGATGATGGTGATGGTGATGATGATGATGATGGTGATGATGATGAGGATGGTGATGATGATGAGGATGGTGATGATGATGATGATGGTGATGACGATGATGATGATGGTGATGATGATGACGATGGTGATGATGATGATGATGACGATGATGAGGATGGTGATGATGATGATGATGGTGATGATGATGATGATGGTGATGGTGATGATGATGATGATGGTGATGACGATGATGATGATGATGATGACGATGGTGATGATGATGATGATGATGACGATGGTGATGACGATGATGATGATGATGACGATGGTGATGACGATGATGATGATGATGACGATGGTGATGATGATGATGATGACGATGGTGATGACGATGATGATGATGATGGTGATGACGATGGTGATGATGATGATGATGACGATGATGACGATGGTGATGATGATGATGATGACGATGGTGATGATGATGATGATGATGACGATGATGATGATGATGATGAGGACGATGGTGATGATGATGATGATGACGATGGTGATGATGATGATGATGACGATGGTGACGATGGTGATGATGATGATGATGACGATGGTGATGATGATGATGATGATGATGACGATGGTGATGATGATGATGACGATGGTGATGATGATGATGATGGTGATGGTGATGATGATGATGATGACGATGGTGATGATGATGATGATGACGATGGTGATGATGATGATGACGATGGTGATGATGATGATGATGACGATGGTGATGATGATGATGATGACGATGATGACGATGGTGATGATGATGATGATGATGATGACGATGGTGATGATGATGATGATGACGATGATGATGATGATGGTGATGATGATGATGATGACGATGATGATGATGATGACGATGGTGATGATGATGATGATGATGATGACGATGGTGATGATGATGACGATGGTGATGATGATGATGATGACGATGGTGATGATGATGATGATGATGATGACGATGGTGATGATGATGATGATGATGACGATGGTGATGATGATGATGATGACGATGGTGATGATGATGATGATGACGACGGTGATGATGATGATGATGATGACGATGATGACGATGGTGATGATGATGATGATGATGATGATGACGATGGTGATGATGATGATGATGACGATGATGATGATGATGACGATGGTGATGATGATGATGATGAGGACGATGGTGATGATGATGATGATGATGACGATGGTGATGATGATGATGATGACGATGGTGACGATGGTGATGATGATGATGATGACGATGGTGATGATGATGATGATGATGACGATGGTGATGATGATGATGATGACGATGGTGATGATGATGATGATGACGATGGTGATGATGATGATGACGATGGTGATGATGATGATGATGATGATGACGATGGTGATGATGATGATGATGACGATGACGATGGTGATGATGATGATGATGATGATGACGATGGTGATGATGATGATGATGATGACGATGATGATGATGATGATGATGACGATGGTGATGATGATGATGATGATGACGATGGTGATGATGATGATGATGATGATGGTGATGATGATGATGATGATAATGATATACATATACATATACATATACATATACATATACATATACATATACATATACATATACATGTACATGTACATACGCAAATGCAAATGCATATGCATATACATATACACTAACCATTGCCAATAATACACATAGAACCAGATACTATATAGGGATAATATAGTAACTATGTGTAGTCATATTTGGCTCTAGGGATAATAAAAAAAATATCAACGAACTAAATAAGATAGTAGTAGGGATATATATATAGAGAGAGAGAGAGACTAACCATAGGGGAGAAAAATGGATAGTGTATTTAAGTACAAAAAATAGTGAAAGAGTTGGTACTAACCAACCATATCCACCATATTATTGGGAGTAAACCACCATTTTAGTTGGTGAATGGCACTGTTTCTATCCCAGCTTCCAAATATGTTTTTTCCAGCACTTGGATGTCCCTGAACTGAGTTGTTGGATCTGAAACCATTCATGTCTAGGGGTTCAACTGAGCAGATTTTTGGTAACTGGGTCCCATTTTTGCTGTCTCAATCTTCATCATTTTTTGCTGTTTCATCCTGCTTCTATCATGGCCATATATGGAACTATTCCCATCAAATAGCAACATATTACACATATGTATATATATATATATACACATACATATTTATATGTACTTAGTAATATACATACATCATGTATTAGATATCATATATGATATTCAACATTAGTATGTAAATTAAACAAATATAACATTATTTGCATATTATTTGTATGTACCATCTGGCTATTTAACAGTTCGCCATGGAAAATCACCATGCTATTGATAGATAAACAATCTATTTCTATGGGCCATCTATACCATGGCTATGTTAGTCATAACCAGATGGTACATATTATTACTCCAGGGGTAATGATGGGATAGTGATGGGAAAATAGGATGATAATAGGATAATCATGGGATAATGATGGGATATCTATTAATCATGGGATGTTAAATAACCAGATGGTATATTATACATCATCCATTAATGCTCCATCCCATCTCCGCCTGATGTCTTCGCCGCTCGGGCGCAAGCACCAGTGACCCCCTCCTCCACTGCCTTCAGGCCCTGCGTTCTTCATCGGAAAGCCATGGGAAAACCATAGGAAAACCATGATGAAACCATGGTGAAACCCTGAAAAATTGGGAATGGGAGGTTTTTTTGGCTGATGTTTTGTTATTATCATATAATGATCGATGTATCATGATCATATAGTGGTTCATGAGTAGATAAAGACGAAGACATATTGATCAGCAATGAACATGTATCTTACGATACTAAAATATAGGATGTTGGACATACTGTTCCATATAATATTATGAGATAAAAAAAAGAATAAGATGCTATATGTTCTTGTGCATAATCATATGTGATATAATGATCATACATGACATATAATGATATTCCATGAAACATGCACATGATAATAAAACAAGAAAAACGAACCCCATAAGAATTGAGTCATCGCCATGTTTAACATCTGGAAGGTATCATATACTTTGTATACAATGACTCACAAATGATGCAAGACAAATGTATCATATCAATATCATTAAAATTCATCATTCAAATTAAGTATACGTATATTTATATAAATATATGATTCAACCATCGCTAAACCTAATCGTTTCAGAGGGTTAAACCATTTTTTTTGTCTTAAAAGCATCCCATGGCTATTCTGGGAGCATCCCATGGCATCTTCTGACAATGCACTCCGATTTCTTCATGGCAGGTGGTACCCGCAGTGGTCATTTAACGAAAATTGAAGCATATTGAAGCCACCATAGAAATCGTTGATTTACCCTCTGGTTATGACTAACAGTTCGCCATGGTATAGATGGCCCAAATCGAAATAGATGGTTTATCTATGAATAGCATGGTGATGTTCAATGGCGAACTGTTAGTCATAACAAGATGGTAGCTCCAAATGAGTTCCCTCTGAGTTGACCAGGGGCTACTGGAATTTCAGCCCTGGGGCCCTGGGGACCACCGTAAAGCAGGCAGCTCCGCCTCCGACAAAGCTCGGGTCATGAAGACAGTCAACGGGAAGTCGCTGGAGGGACACCCCAAGGCCATATACTCCTGGTGGTCATCGCAGGAGAGGCAAATAAAACATGTGAAACTACCAATGCCATAGAAATGTGGCTATGTACACTAAAATAGTGAGCATTCTTGGTTGACCAAGTGAAATTCACATTCCAACAAAGATGGTCGGGATTCAACATGTTTTTTTCAGCATCAAACATGATGGAAAATCAGCATTCAACATCAAGAATGCGGAACAAATAGCTCTACGCATCAAAAATTAGTGGAGTTGATCAACAAATGAGGATTGAAACAGTAGTAGGGATTTATTCGGATGTCGCTACTAAATATGACGTTCAATTTTTATTGGTTTTATGACAACTTTACACGAAACAGCATAGTTGTCCCCTCAAATATACAGGGTCTAATTGGTGGTTGAGCCTACCCCGCTGAACAATATGAGTTCGTCAGATTGGATCATCATCCCAACTAATTATTGAGGAAAATAAAGTTCATGTTCCAAACCACCAACCAGGTTTTTTTTCCCTTGTCAAACTCTTCTTGGGACGGCCGAAAAGCTGTCATACCTTGGTGGTTTTTTTTTCACATGATATTGCGCACGGAGGCCCGCGTTGAAAAAAGGGCAACTTGTAATGATTCACCAAGTTGAAATAACCTTTGGTTATGGCAAATAATGGATATATATATATATATACATATAATGAGGGATTATGTCACTACATAGCCAGCCAAAATGGGAATATCATTGGGATACATTGGGATGTAATGGGAATTAATATGGATATATAATATATATATATATGGATTATATGATTAATGTGTAGGAACCCCCCAAGCTAAACATCACTCTTGGCACAGTCAAGAACCCAACTTCGCCTGGGATCATTCCAGTGATGTCAGGATCTGAGGTCATTGGCAAATTCTCCGTTAAAACCACCACATCTACTAGTTGGTGGTTTCAACCCCTCTGAAAAATATTAGTCAATGGGAAGGATTATCCCATATATTATGGAAAATAAAAAATGTTCCAAACCACCAACCAGTCTATTTTGTGATCAAATATCAATGGACTGTGTTTTTTTCTGGATAAAACATGATTGACCACATCTGTTAATTGAAGAGCTTTGTGAAAGAATTGCTCTTGATCAAAACCCAAAAAACTCTCCACAGCATGTTGATCATGTTATGGTCAATCTGACTGGTAGCTCATATCAAACTCATCTTTTGGTTGGTTATGTTCCATGGGGATCTCCTCGATCCCGGCCAATCAGACCGTGGCCATGGCCCACCCATACTATAGTACTCCGAAAAAAGTGTGTCTGAAAATGGAATGTAATCCCTAAATATTCACTAAAATATAGGGAAAATATCAGAAGTGTCTCAACCAGATGGAAAAAACTGGATCTTTTCCCCTCAAAATTCTGATCCATTATTTTTTCATATTTTGTCCATCCACTATTGGAGGTCCAACTGATTGATTCCATCTGACAACCCCCCAATTTATCGGCTCCTTGTGCATGGTTTCATCCAAGCTCCTGAGAGAGATCGCTGCTCGGTGCCACAATTTTCGGTTTGCGTCCCATTTTAAGCTGCGACGTAAGGCTTAGACGAAGTAGACGTGGATTTGTGAAATGGGGTTAGTTTCATACAGGTCATATGATGTAATGGGATTTTAGAGATGGTGGTTTGTAATGATTGTTTTTTTAGGCCATGTTTCTTGCATGTTGATTTTGTAATCCCTTGCCCCCATTAAACACCCCTCTAGAAACCATGCTTTTAGTAGGGGATGAGCTGGGTTTCTACCCATCTGCTAGGATCCCATATTACATGGTGAGCCCGGAAAATAATAACCAAGAACTGACCTAGCGTCTATCTAAAGAGATGAATATCTATGGATTTGACAGCAAAATAACAAGATAATATTGGACCTGCACTTAGCACACAATGATTCTGTCCAGGTCAGCGCGTCACACACTACTCACGACGACCCCACGACACCTAAAAGTGTCCAGAGCACTTGGCAAAGCCACTTCTTCCAGATTCTGGCTGAATTCACTGCCAAAGGCCAAGCTCTGAAGATTGCTTGGCAGAGTCACTCCATTTAGGCTCTGACCAAAATCGTCACCAAATGTCAAGCTCTGAAGACTGCTTGGCAGGGTCACTCCTTCCAGGTTACGGTTAAACTTTCTGCCAAATGTCAATGTCTGAAGACTGCTTGGCAAGGTCACTGCATTTAGGCTCTGATCAAAACCGTCACCAAATGTCAAGCTCTGAAGACTGCTTGGCAGGGTCACTCCTTCCAGGTTACGGTTAAACTTTCTGCCAAATGTCAATGTCTGAAGACTGCTTGGCAAGGTCACTGCATTTAGGCTCTGATCAAAACCGTCACCAAATGTCAAGCTCTGAAGGCTGCTTGGCAGGGTCACTCCTTCCAGGTTACGGTTAAACTTTCTGCCAAATGTCAATGTCTGAAGACTGCTTGGCAAGGTCACTGCATTTAGGCTCTGATCAAAATCGTCACCAAATGTCAAGCTCTGAAGACTGCTTGGCAGGGTCACTCTTTCCAGGTTACGGTTAAACTTTCTGCCGAATGTCAATGTCTGAAGACTGCTTGGCAAGGTCACTGCATTTAGGCTCTGATCAAAATCGTCACCAAATGTCAAGCTCTGAAGACTGCTTGGCAGGGTCACTCCTTCCAGGTTACGGTTAAACTTTCTGCCAAATGTCAATGTCTGAAGACTGCTTGGCAAGGTCACTCCATTTAGGCTCTGATCAAAACTGTAACCGAATCGCAAGGTCTGAAGTCTGCCTGGCAGAGTCACTTCTTTTAGGCTTTGATTGAACTTGAATGTCAAGCTGTGAAGACTGCTTGGCAGGGTCACTCGTTCCAGGTTCTTCTGATTAAAATTGTCACCTAATGTCAAGCTCTTAAGACTGCTTGGCAGGACAATTTGTTCTAGGCTCTGGTTAAACCAACTACATAAAGTCAAGGTCTGAAGACTGCTTGGCAGGGTAGTTCCTGCAAGGGTCTGGTTAAACTCGCGTCCAAATGTCAAGGTCTGAAGATTGGGTGGGAGAGTCATTCCTGCCAAGCTCTGTTGAAAATTGTCACCAAATGTCAAGGTCTGAAGACTGGTTGGCAAAGTCACTCCTTCCAGGCTCTGGTTAAATCGAAAGCCAAACGTCAAGGTCTCAAGACTGCTTGGCAAGGTCACTCCTCGAAGGCTCTGATTGAACATAAAGCCAAATGTCAAGGTCTGAAGACTGCTTGGCAAGGTCACTCGTTGCAGGCATTGATTAAAACAAGCACCTAATGTCAACGTCAGAAGACTGCTTGGCAAGGTCATTCCTTCCAGGTTCTGATCAAAATACGTACCGAATTTCAAGGTTCGAAGATTGCTTGGCAGGTTCATTTGTTCCAGGCTCTGGTTAAATTCACTGCCAAATGTCAAGGTCCGAAGACTACTTGGCAGAGTCACTCCTTCCAGCCTCTGATTGAATTCGTCACCGAATGTCAAGCTCTGAAGTCTGCTTGGCAGAGTCACTCCTATCAGGGTGCCATTAAACCTGCTACCAAACGTCAAGCTCTCAAGACTGCTTGGCAAGGTCACTGCATTTAGGCTCTGATCAAAATCGTCACCAAACGTCAAGCTCTCAAGACTGCTTGGCAAGGTCATTCCTTTCAGGCTCCCAATGAAATCGCGGGCTAGTGCTATCTGGGTCACTCCCTCCAATGCAAGCTGTCCCTCGACCTCGGAGACGGGCCATTCGTGGACTGTACGCCATGCAGCATAGAGATCTGTTGGAACATACGTGCAAGAGAGTGTTGCAGCCTTGCCCACAATGCCTTGCTCCTCCAATGCTTTGTGCAGGAGCAGTGAGTCAAGGTGCAGGGTGAGTTTTCCACCTTTCTTTGGAGGAAGTTGTGTTGAAACCATCCGGTACACGTCCAGACCCGTGCACGAACCACTGAGTTTCAACCTGCATCCTTCACCATTCAGGCATTGTACAGACAGGTCAATAAAAGGCATTGTATTGTTCGACATCTTCTTGTTCGACATGTTGTTTTCGTTCATGGCAAAAAAAAACACCTGGCTTGCGCAACTTGTCGGGGCTGAACGGCTGATTCCTTCATGACTGCCGTGGATTCATTGCCAGAGACATCCGTGTGTGGGCATCTCAAAATCCACGGCTGAATCATCATGTTCTCTGTTAAATGTCCATGTTTTGAGCGGGTATTTGTACCCAATTTTCAGACAAAGCCATATAGCCATAGTTGTAGGGGCCCCCATATCACAACTTAATGGAGGTGACTCGCTGCACCCCTCTGACACTGGGGTGGACAAAGAAGAAATATATGTTTTTGCAACCACCAGCCGGGTGAATGTTCGAATGACCTAGATACATTTCGGAAGTCAGAAGCATTTCCAAAGTTGGAACTTGGAACCATCCAAAAATTCATGTAAATTCCATGTTTTTCCAACCTGGATATAAATACTCATGGGACCATCTAAAGGATCAATCTTTCCCCGAAAAAGTGTGAGGGTCCACGCTCCTCCGAAAAAAACAGGAGATGCCCTCAAATTTGTGAGGGATAAACATGAAAATACCGGCTAGAATTCAATTCAACGGATTTTTGTTTGGGAAGAAACACAAGAAATCTGTCACATCATGTCACATCAAATATTCGGTTTCCCGTAAATTGCACATGTTCCTTTTAACATCTTTTAACTATAAATCTCAGGAAACGCGGTACGAAAGCCGGCATTCATTTTAGAGCATCCCAGTTGTTCAAGCCACTGCCATGCAGTGCCATATCATACAGAAATATAGATGGGACACCGTGTTTGATTCACATATAGCTTATCTTGATAATTCCAGTAATAAAAATCAATTTCCAATAATGATAATGTTTTTCCAATAAAATGATGTTCCAGTAATAGAAATACCAGCTTGAGGACGACGGGCTCGACAGTATCAAGATCACCCAGGATTTTGCAGCCCTCAAAACCCTTAATTTCCCCTTATCATTTGATCCCCCCCGGTCGTTTTACATAGCTATGGAACATGCCCCATTTACAGCTGATTTACCTATTTAACACAAGTTAAGTGATGTTTCAATATGTTTCATAGTTATGTCATAGTTCAATTCATGATGGAAAAATTCCCCCCATGTCTAGATGATTGTCACTGATTGTCTCATGAAAAACCCGAAAAACTGGAGATTTCTGCGGCGAAGACCATCTGCCAGGCTTCAAGACCTCGCCATAGGCGAAGAGTCCCTCGTCCGAGGTCCGTAGGTGACGGAGGTGCTCCTGTGATGGAGGACTTCACCCAGTGTTTGCTGGACGAAATCAGGTCGAAATCCGGGATGTCACCATGATTTCTGTTGAGAAAAATATGAGAAAATGGGTCTTTAAAAAAAAAATGGACCTAGAAATGGTTGAAACTTGGGTGATTTCACTCCTGTGGGGATCCTGGTTTCAATTTCTTTCAGCGATGGGATTTGAGAACTCGATCTTAATTTACCCAAAAATGTGGGATTCAAAAAGTCAAAATGAGGATTCTTACGCAACAAGAACAAGGATCAAAACAGAAAAGGTTGAGCACAACTTGGACCAGATCTGGATTTTAGTCGCAGCTTCACCGAAACTGGGGGCCATACGATCGGAATGCTACCCCGTTTACATAAGGATATGTTGCTACTCGTCTTAGAATACCTAGATTTCAGGCAGTGGAGAACAGCTCCAAAAAAATGCAACGTTCTTGTTTTGAGCCCTCATGGACAGGAATCTATAATATGTGCATGGAAGTTGTAGCGCATGTAAGGTACGTTTTATCTCAAAAGCAGGTGACTTTGGCACGCTAAGTCCCAGCAAACAGGCTGAACATGAGTTCATATAAAACATTTCACACATACTCTCTGGTAATGTAACGTGCTATTGAAAATAGCAATTTCCAGTTAATTTACCTTTTAAATATTGTGATTTTCCAAAGCTATACTGTAATAATTCCCCAGGGGGTATGTCAAAGAGCATTGGTAATCATACTGATCTTGGTCAATGTGGCTATGGGCCAAAACGCTGCTTCCTATCGTCCCGGATGACATAACCATCCACATATCCAACCGAACAACAAAGGATTCCAACCGGGCCATATAAACCACAACCGGGTTTTGGAGGGAACCCAACCGCCCGTGTTTTTCTGGTGAAAAATCCCCGCTGGTGAGTTTGTCTGAACATGGGCTACCTCGGGAACTCCGATTGCAAGGCAACTTTGGAGATACCCCCTATATTTGTGGACGAAGCCAACTATGATATCAGCTGAAAAATATCACGTCGTATCTGATAAATATCCATCCATATCCCGATGAATTATAGCCCCATTTCAAAACCTAAGAAACCCATGTTCAACTATCATATCAAGTTGGATATACTTATATAATCTTATATACATCTCCCGATGACTAACGCCATGCACATTTCGCACCTCCAAATGCTTTGGCCTCAAGTGTTTTACAGCATCAAAGCGAATGCCCGACACACCTCAGCAGGTCGCTTGGTGGATTTAGTCAGCTGGTGTTAGTCGGTTACTGGTTAGTGTTGGGTTACCCTCTGGTTAACATACAAAAAACTATGGAAAATCACCATTTTCATGGGAAAATCCACTATTTCTATGGTCATGTGAGTCATGTTCCATAGTCATGTAACAAATTACCAGAGGGTATAACCCATGAAGACAAACCTTTACCAACTAACATCCATGGCCAACTTAAATCCCATCCCCAACTTGGATGATCAGCCGTTGGAAATACAGCCCCAGTTATGTTAGTTGCTTTGCCAATCCATCTAGCTATAGTTGTAACCATGATAAATAAACATTATCTATGGGTATAGTTGCAGTTGTAATGCCCAACTAGAGTTATTGTTATATACATATATATATATAACATTATATAACCATAATGCCCATCTAATCATAGTGATAATGATAACTATGGATAATGTTTTTTTGTTACAATATGTTACAATAATCCCAGCATTATCACTAGCTGCACTAGCTAAGAAAAAAAACCGGATGTTCTGGATTTCACCCAACATGGATTGGTCCCCACCGCCCCCACCTGCATCCAACAAGAGCTGCAGGTGCTGCTGCTGCATCTGCACCACACGAGGACAGTAGCGCAGTTCCGACCACTCGCCACTGCCCCAGCCCTGGGTGACGTGACGTCCCAGGTTTTCGACGAAATCAGTGGTGAAACCAAGGTGAAACTAAAGGAAAATGCTGATTGAACAAACAACTATTGGGATTCACTGTGATTGACAGTGCTGAATAATGCTGAAAAAATAAATTACTATTGATGATAGTTAAGTTGCTGCAAATCACGTGGTTAACGTTTGGATTTATGGAGGACAGTAACTACACTTAGTGGGGTGAACATAAACCAACTTGTGACTGGGCCACCTTGTAAAGTGAATCATACAAAAACCTATGGAAGTCCATGGTTCTTCCATTCGGCAATCATCTACCATGAGGGGGAGTTCCATGACTTTACTGGAGGGTACTAGATAATGATTATCAATCCTAATGCACGTACTAAAGGTAATATCAAGGTTGCCAGAGATTACATAAGGTTATAAGTTTTATCAGTTACCCTCTGGTTATTTGACATAGCCATGGAAAATGGCCCATTTATAGATGATTTTCCCAGCTATAAACCTCAATTTATAAGGGATTTTCCATGGCTATGTTAAATAACCTTATCATTTAATCCGATCATTCGTGATGTCCTACGATTTCCTTCAAAAAAACGACGATTCTTTTTTTAAGTGATCATGGGGTGGTTGTGAATGGTGATTTTCTTGGTTGCAGTACATATAGCATGATAATTACGAATAACCAGCTGTCCCCATGATGTATTGCGGTACAATGTCTGTATATATACATACATCATGCTGCATATTCTTGTATCAATTGCGAGTATCTGGTGGCTTATTGATATAACATGACATAGCCATTAACCATTATTAATTAAGAAGCCATAATCATATATATATATATGCATATATACATAGCAAAATGATGTGTTTAAGAGGAACTACACAGGAAGACATGTCTTTTTTCACATGTGTTTAGCCGAAAATATGTTGGGTTTTCTGGTGTCGCAATCGATGGCGGCCATCATCTTGAGAAGAAATGATGAGAATAATGAGATTATATATATATTATATCCATATATCAATATCTATGGAATATTGAATATATATATATATATATGTAAGATTGGATATATATATATATATGTAAGATTGGATATATATATATATATGTATTGAACATCATCTGGTTTCCCATCATATGCCTTTAAAAGAACACCCAGATCAACATCTTCAATCACCAGCTGAACAGCTCAGCAATGCTCAGCACCTCGTAGCGGTTCTCGTTATCCCAGTTGTCCCCGGACCTGGCAACTGGTGATTGAAACAAGAAGCAGAGATACCCTCTGGTTAACATCACCATTTTTAATGGGAAAATCCACTGTAAATGGGCCATGTTCAATAGCTATGTTAAATTACCAGAGGGTAGATGGGAAAGAACATGAATTACCATAGTTAAACCATCTAAAAGTCATATGGAAACTGGTGAACACTTTAGATACTAAGAACATGATGGAAACTGGTGAACTTTGATTGCCCTAGTCATATCGTGATCAATAAGTCTTAAGCCATCTCACTTTTCTTTCATGGTCGATAGTCCATTAATGTTCCATGCATCCTTGGTATCCCCATCATCTCCCCATCATATTCCGACAAAATTCTTCTGATATTCCATGGTTTTTAAGAATAACCTCTGGTAATTTAACATAGCTATGGAAATTTGCCATTTATAGTTGATATACCCATTAAATAAAAATGGTGATTTGCCATAGTTATGTTAGTTTACCAGAGGGTAATATATTCATGAATAATATTTTATGATAATATGTCTGATAATCATATTCCATATATTTCTCACCATCATAAGATATATTCAATATATATGATATCCATATATTCCAAAATATGCCTTTCTGATAATCATAGTCCATACATTGTCATAAATATATCATGTAATATGATTTTTCAGGATGGATATGTGATGGTGGATAATCATATTCCATATATGTTACCCTCTGGTAAACTAAAATAACCATAGAAAAACACCCTTTTGAACAGGTAAATCAACTATATGGTGTATTTTCAATAGCTATGTTACAAATTACCAGAGTATAAATCCCGTTGACATCCCATTATTCACCATTATTAACCATAGAAAATCACCATTTATAGTGGTTAAATCACCATTCTCCTATGGTTTTCCTATGGTTTTCCTATGGTTTTCCTATGGTTTTCCTATGGTTTTCCTATGGTATGGTTTTCCTATGGTTTCATGGTGAGCTCCGCTGAACTCCGAGGAACATCTCCAACCAGGGCCATTGGAAGTCTTCCAGCTGCATGGGCCTTGGGACCCAGGAATCAGTTTGGCTGGCGTAGAATCCATGAAGTTAAGCAGTTTGTTCATCCCATATAGATATATATATATATAAGTGAGGATAAATATTACTATATATATATATGATATTATATATATATATATATTATTGCTATATATATATTATATTATATATATATATACATTATATATCATTATATATTCCATTTATATCTAATTGTTTATTGTTCACCTGCTTATTAAGTGGGATGTACCCCCAAGTAAACGAATGGAAAAAAGATTGGGGAAGACCTTGAAGCAATGGGGGAAATCCAGGATGGCTACCCAACAATCAGGGTTTAGCAATGGCCTTCTATTGGGGTTCATGGGGGCTAAGAACTCCTTGATTTATATAGGCCTTATATATTTTTTGATTGACCGGCCTGGGGGGTACCCCTAGATTTCCTTGAAAATGTGAACGCCATTGGTGTCAAAATCAAGAAATAACCTAAAACCAAAACCAAACCACCAACCCCAAACGGCAGTGAACCAGTGGTTGAGGGATGTATAGCAAGAATAAAAGAATAAACCAAAACATGTGAAAAGGCAGCTGATGATGACATATGCAATCCTGATATTAGAGATGTACCCCCCAAAATTACTTCTTCCAAATGCAGTGCTGCAGAACCACCTTCCAAACCTGTCTCTTGTGGGTCCATCGTCCAGGGGCACCAATCATGAGAAAATATCTACAAAAAGTAGTCAAAGCTTTGGGAGTCTCACTGGTTCTCAAAAGTGATGAGACCTCTTCTGATTTCCAGAAGACCACAATCCTTGTGTCGACAGAAGGATATCTTTAACGCCACTTGCGACTACCGCATCTAAAGCAGTCTTCCGTCCCCTCCAAGGATGGTGAATCTTTCCTATATGTCGGTTGTCATCAATACCCCCATCAGAGATGGATACAAGTGAAACCTCATTTCGGGTTCAAATCACCTACCAATCTTGGTACATTTCCACATCCACCAGAAAATATGTGGATTCAGAGATGATCTCGCCATTACAAATATATGCATAAGTTCTGTCCTCCTTTTTTGTTGGCGGACATGCCCAATTTTGGTCAGTAGATACCCAAGAACACTGTTTCTGTTGGTGAAACCTCTGCTTTTGTTTCAAGTCGGTTTTCTTAGCAGTTGGTTACATCAATCGTGGATTATGAAATCTCGAGGTTTCATTCTTATCAAGTTACCATCTGGTTATGACTAACATAGCCATGGAAAATCCCTTATAAATATGGAGATTATAGCTGGGAACATCATCTAGAAATGGGCCATCTACACCATGGCTATGTTAAATAACCAGAGGATATCTGAAGTTCCGGCTGAAAAACCAAGTAATTCTCCAAGCCACGTCTGTTGTACCAGCCGCTGTTGGAGCTCTTTCAGCTTGCCTTGCGGAATCGGCGGTATCCTGGACCTGAAATTTTGACTGGGTGACCCAACTGGAAGTTGTGTTTTTAGAGGTTTAAGTGCGAAAAATAGAGGTTTAACCAACAGAATTGCTGGGGGTTCCCCAACCACCTCGATTTTTTGATGGGTTTTCACCACCATGTTGGATGGTGAAACCATGGTTAAACCACCATTTTTCACATCATCTCCACCATCTCCACTCTCAACGCCACGGCAATACCAGCGCTGCGCACCCGGATCTTTCTGCGCGTGGCGCCACTCATGGCAGCTGCCGACCACCTCAGAGGTGATTGGTGGGGTGCAAGAAGTGGTTCCAAAAAAAATCAGAAGTAGATAGACAAGTAAATATAAATATGTATATATAGTAGATGTAATAGGTGGATTTTACTTGTCTATCTACTTCTCTATATACCCCATGTGTGTATATATATATGCGTGTATTTATATATATATATATGTGTGTGACTAAATTATACAATTTACCAACCTGAAATAAGTATGGGGATATATTTTAATGGAGATACAACTTCTAACTTATAATTATAACCAACAAATATTGGGATATGGGATACATGGTTTCTGGTAAATCTGGCAAATAACTATTGACATCTATTGCTGGGATACATACCATATGTCACATATGTAAATATATATATATATGAATAATCAGCAAAATTGTGAGTACTATATATATATATATTGTATACAATCAAATATAGCAGGGAACATGATGATCAAGCCATTTTGCCTTCCAACAAAATGAAACAACCAAAGGTGAGAAACTCCACAAAAAAAAAAACTTCAAAATGAGAATTGAGACTTTGAAGTGAAAGTTTTAACCCCGGAAAATGCGGATACCTCCAATGGGATAGGTAAACAACAAAGATACGGAGTTTGAGCAAGACAAGTTGTGATTAAACCCGACCAGAAAATTGGAATCTAACATCATGTGGCCATCGAAATAACCAACCTTCCTCTAATCAAACATGAATATTTTCCAGTTAAAACGAATCCTCCATTCATGGGAATTTTCCCAGTGCCACGGTTGATAATTTTAGGGACATATTTGACGCCAGAGTCACCAGCATGTGATTGAACACGACGTCGCCGATGACGCGCAACTTCAGCCTTTGCTGAAAAAAAGAGCCCAGTGGATTCCCAAGCAAACAGCATCAGTATATGATGTAAGTCCATGAACAGTTCAGTGTATATTTGTATGTGAATATAGACGCATGAATGTTTGTTTGTGTATATACATACATATATATATACTGTATATACATATATGTGAAATTACATATACATGTTGTATATATATATATATCGAAACTCACAATTGCATACGTCATGAATTTACGGCAATTCCACGTACCTGTACATGTCCATTGTACATGTCTGATATGCAAGTACGGGTTGGGAGCCTTGAGTCTGGTGGTTAAATCCCCATTGACAGCAACAAAAAGACAACACAGCCACATGAACCCCTTGCCCAAGGAGCTCTCTGGTTTTGGTGCAGAGCTGTTTTAGCTCCTGCCAGAGTTTTGTTAGGCGAAGTTGAAGCGACAAAAAAAAATGAAAACAAATACAATTTTGAGGTTTCCCAAAATGGGGGCGTACCCCAAATCATCTATTTGATGGGATTTTACATTATAAACTATCCAGCTATTGGGGTACCTCCCATTGCAGGAAACCTTCATTTACCATTCTGTAAAAATACAAAAAGATGTGCTGCTCAATCACCATTGAATGTAGGTCATGTTCCAAACAGGTGAAACACCATTGGTTTTTCATATCTATGTTGGTTTACCTCTGGGTATGTGCTGATGGTCTCTTAAAAAACAAAAACTATTATATATATATATACAGTATATATATATGGGTGAAACATGGTGAAACCCAAGAAATGTGTTCACTGGCAGGAGACTGTTTCAGGATATGATTGATCACAGAAGTATGGTTGGTTGAATCCCCAGGACAATTTGGGCAAAAGGCTACGTGTCGATTTCTAATCGGTGAAACCAACATTTGGGATTTACCCTCTGGTTATTTAACATAGCCATGGAAAATCACCATTTTTAATGGGAAAATCCACTATAAATGGGCCATCTATACCATGGCTATGTTAGTCATAACCAGAGGGTAAGTGGATACCATTTGGGACCCAGAAAACCCATGGCTATTTTGATGCACCCAAGCACCGGTCAAGCACCAGTCAAGCTCGAGCCTCCCAAGAGCCAAGGCCTTCAATCTTTCCGTAGTCCTCCAGACGGGCCATAACCAGCGACCACCCAGCTTTCTGCCGGCTAAATCAGATACAGGAAGCCTGTAGAACGCTGTGTATATAGATTATATATATATATGTGTGTGTGTATGCTAACTTATATGTATATATATATATATCATAATATATTATATTATACACATTATATATGCATAACTGCATAATTATGTATATACCATCTATATAGATACCCCCTAGGAATCACACATAGCAGTGGACAAGTCCAAATTCCGAGGTTGTCATCCCAACAGAAATGACTTTCTTCGAGTGATCCCCACCATGACACACTATTCTGACATAGTTTCTGGCATACCATCTGGAAGTGTATATATATATACATATATATATATATTGTATGTATGGTGTGTATATATATATATATGGTGTGTACATATATATATATATTCTGACTTATCTGACATTCTTAGTATTATAGATATATACTATAGTGTATATCATAGTATCACTGTACTCTATGCAATGTATATTACTATCACTGTATATCATGACATACTATTTTGCCATAATATTATGACATACTATAGATACAATAGTATATATCATAGTATCTAAACTGTCACTACATAGTATCTTAGTTTCTGACATGTTTTTTTGGCAACTACAAGTGACATAGTATCTGGAAGTATATATATGGCATATATATTCTGACATTCTATCTGATACAGTATTCTTTCTGGAATGTGCTTTGACATTCTATCTGGCATCTATTCTGACATGCTTGCTGGCATATCTTCTGGCATTCTTTCTGGCATTATATCTGGCCATCTTTTCAGGCATTCATTCTGGTGTTCGGGTCTAGGCATGCCCCACAGCATCCGGAGCTGGTGATATGGCAGCAAGTGCAGCAAGCGAGAGGGGGAGAAGACGAAGGAGGACGAGGAGGAAGAAGAAGAGCGGCACCTTTATTACCCTCCAGTAAATTAACATAGACCCTGGCAGTCATCGGGGTTGGAAGATGAGTTTCCACTCAACATGTGTGATTTTCAGGGTCCAACTCTTAATTTACCAGAGGCTAATGGTAATTTAATGGTAATTTATAGTTGTATAATGTTGTATATCCCATAAACCAACCAGTAATAACAATCATCAAATATATCCCCATTATATCCCATAAACCAACCATTAGATCATCCACCTGCCAGGGGAACCAAAAAAAAAAACGACACCTGCGGCTGGTAGCGGGCCCACCACTCGTGACCTCAGGGGGATGACATGACCAATTACCATGACCGAAGCCTGTTATCCCGAACCCTGGAATCATGGTTAATAAGGGAAATCATCCCCAAATGGCCTTAATTCAGGTTTTGGGAAGCCCCATTTTCTGGATAATTTCGGTAATAATTTTGGTAATTGGGAAGCCCCATTTTCTGGATAATTTTGGTAATTGGAAAGCCCCATTTTCTGGATAATTTTGGTAATTGGGAAGCCCCATTTTCTGGATAATCTTGGTAATTGGGAAGCCCCATTTTCTAGATAATTTTGCTAATTGGAAAGCCCCATTTTCTGGATAATCTTGGTAATTGCGAAGCCCCATTTTCTGGATAATTTTGGTAATTGGAAAGCCCCATTTTCTGGATAATTTTGGTAATTGCGAAGCCCCATTTTCTGGATAATTTTGGTAATAATTTTGGTAATTGGAAAGCCCCATTTTCTGGATAATTTTGGTAATTGGGAAGCCCCATTTTCTGGATAATTTTGGTAATAATTTTGGTAATTGGAAAGCCCCATTTTCTGGATAATTTTGGTAATTGGAAAGCCCCATTTTCTGGATAATGAGTTTATCAAACTGAGGACAAGTTTTCATATGGCCGTTTCCCATATTTACGATGACCAATTACCATGACCAATAGTTAAAATATGGTAAAATGGTAATATATAAACTGCGATGGTTTTAAAACATCAAAGCCCCATTTTCTGGAAATCTGTGGTTGAATCTTGTGCAAGTGTGTTAATTCGCCGCAGAAATGTTGTCTGATTGTAAATATGGGGGAATTTTCAGCAGCAACAAATGGGTGGCATCGAAGCAAAAACTGGATTCTGAACTCAACTAACCAAAGCGAATATTAATCATGTGTTGGTTTGTCAAGAAATGCAACCCCCAAAAGCCAATGTTGATAGGATGACAATCCAAGAAAATGTGTGGTGCTGTCTTCTTTTCAGGGACGTGACATCTTTTAGATCATTTTACCATGGGACCATGTGGAAGTTACACCCTCTTTACCCATCATTGATATTTCATAGCTATCTTATTTTCCATAGCTATGTTACAAGTAGATTACCAGAGGGTACACATAGATCATTTCCCCCACCTCCTTCCCCGCTTAAAAATCCCCCAAACAGTTGGTTTGCACAAACAGCCGATGGCAGATTCATTGATTCATATGGATCTATATTGATACATGCTCATTATTCCCAAGTTCATGGTCACACCATGTAAAAAACCTCCAGTTTGAAAGTTCGACCACTGATTCTTGGTGAAATATCTGCATGAATGCCGTGATTCTCCGAAAACTCCAAAAGCCCTTCTCCTGGTATATACCAAGTCCATCCCTGTCCCTATCAATTCCTATGGTATCCAGAAGGTTTACCCCATCTGGATGTGCATCCCAGGAATCTTTAAGTGGGTAATAAAATTTTGCAACCCACTTAGATCAGTGGGATACACCCCACTTATCCATAGCTTACTCACCACTCAATAATGGGTTGCACCCCCAGCAGTATCGCTTGCTGTAGGATACCCCATTTAGTTCCCTGATTTTCCCAACTAGAAACCGTCACTGAGTTTGTGGATTTCTCAGCTAGTCATGTTTCTGTTTCATTAGAAGTCCCGGTAAATCTCTAGTTTTGGGAATTGTATCCCTGTCATCCCTTACCAATTCCATCCAACTCCTATGATCTCTCAACTTTTTCCCAACAATGCTGATCCAGAAGGTCTTGCCCGATAATCCCTTCCCCGGAAACCAGTCCTTAAACACCCCGCAGAAACCATGGGGATGGGATAGGTGCCATTTGATTTCGGTGGACTCGCGTCAAGAATTCCCATGACTGGCTGCTGGTGGACCTACCCCTCTGAATAATGATGGAGTTCGTCAGTTGGGGTTACAATTCCCAACTAAATGGAAAGTCATAAAATTCATGTTCCAAACCACCAACCAGTTGTTATATCCGATTATATTCCCAGTAAACCCTTTATGCGTTGGTTCATGACTGTTTCTTGTTGGTTAACCATGGTATGTCTATTATAGATCCCTGTTATATATGTCTCTTAATCATTAATCCCATTGTAGATTCTCATTATCTTCTCATTATATAAATCTGTTTTTTTGTTGGTTAATGATGACATACAATCATTGTCATGTTAAACTATGTCATCATTAACTATGACAATGCCAAACATAGTTTTTAGCCAATCATTGTCATGTTTGTTGTTGGTTAATTACAATCATTGACATTACATTTGTAAATTTCGTGTGACAACCATTGTTTTTAGCCCCACTTCCCCTGTCATCAGGCTACCGTGTTTGGACTTCTGCGCAGGGCTGATCTGCACTGCATCGAAGCCCAATTCAGCTGCGAGGTGTTTTTTGGCGAGGCAAAATGGGAAAAGATATGAAGCAACAATGGGAATTTAACCATCAAAACATTGGGAAATTCTTGAGTGGAATATTGATCACCAATTAGCCATTCCATTCAAAATTCACCATCAAAAGATCAAGAAATGAATCGCTAAAAGATCGCGGAAAGTGTGGGGCTTCACCATCAATGTTGGACAATTGGGAAATTCACCCCACTAAAAAGTTGGGGATTTAACCATTGACGTGGACAGTTGAAGTTCATTGAAGTTCTGGATATGGAATCAATGTGAGTATACAGTATACCCCAATGTTGGACAAAGAGTCATAGGACTAGAGGACCCGAAACCTTTGAAAATGGACTAATCCAACTATCAATCCCTACTTTCAGTGTTTAAATCCGAATAAACAATAGTAACTCTAGTTATTTTCATCAACTTAGACCTATCTTGTACCCTTCGCTAATCAAACATGGCTTGCTGGACCATCAAACTGTTAGTTCGATGATTTTCCAACTAAATATCCATGTATAATATAATATAATATATATATATACACATCAGATGTTCCCATGTTTTTCGCACCATTTTCCTATGATTTCCCCCTTGTTTCAGGGGATTTGCTCCATTTAAACAGCCCATCCCACACTGTGCCTATGTCTTGTAGCCTCTCCAGGACCAATCCAAATGGCCAGTGGAAGGCATGGAAAATGCTACGTGGCGCCTGCGCCACAAAAAAAGGGACCCATCTTGTTGTGGGTAATGACTGGCCATCTTGCAACAAAGGGATATATATTTATATAATTATATATACATTTATTTGTTTCATTGTTCCATTATGTTTGGATTCCCATATATGATCTATATCCTTGGTATACCCATTAGGTTTGGATTCTCCCATGACATCGGATAGGTGACTGGTTGGTGGTTGACCTAGCCCTCTGAAAAATATGAGTTCCTCAGTTGGGGTTACTATTCCCAACTGAATGGAAAGTCATAAAATTCATGTTCCAAACCACCAACCAGTATAAATATTATATATGTGAGATGTCCTAATTATACATGTATAGATGTATACTAACTATAGATGTATATATGTATACATAGATTACATAAATATATGTACAGTAACTGTATGTATATTGGCAATCAAGCACTAACTGGCCTTTCTGACCCCAAGTACGAAGCTTGGATTCGGCTGCTCGGGACACAGTGAGACGATCGGACATGTGATCATCGAAATGGTGATATGAAAATATTGCAGTAATCACATATTAGTAATGGTGATTAATGACTAATATATGGTCATCAATGGTGATTAATGACTAATATTTTGATGATTACTAATATATGATTATTCATTAATGAGTAATATCATCGAAATGATAGTCACATATTAGTAATCATCAAAATCATCGAAATGATATGAAAATATTGCAGTGACATAAATACCATTAATATCATTCATATCATTAATGTGAATATATGTGATTATATTGCTGTCATATCAATTGTACAGTGTATATATAGATATATATTCAATCAACATCAATCAACCATGCTGGCAGACTGGGAGAGGAGTATCATTGCTTAATTTACACAGAAAATCACAGAATGTAAATACTCAATGACACATTATATGTATTATATGTATTATATGTATGATAAATCAATGTACATTAAAAACCAAACTTTATATAGAAATCTGGTAAAGACCAAGGCTTGACCAGTTGGGTTCCGTTGAGATCCCCGGTGACTGGACAGTTAACCTTCGCTGGGAAATTCCCGTGGCCCCCCTCTGTGGAGGATTTTCCACATGGAAATGCCGTTTGATGACCAGAGGCTGTCCCATTAAATATCGAATATTATATAATATTATACTCCATAACCAGAGAGTAATATCGAATAACTGTTAGTCATAAAATATATATATATATATTCACATTACCCTCTGGTGATGACATTCACAGCAATAGCCATGGAAAGATCCACCATGCTATTAAATAAGAACGGTAAAACATCTATTTCGATTAGGGCCATCTATACCATGGCAAACTGTTAGTCATAACCAGATGGTATTACTATCACCATAATTATATGAGCCATCTATACCATGGCAAACTGTTAGTCATAACCAGATGGTATTACTATCACCATAATTATATGAGCCATCTATACCATGGCAAACTGTTAGTCATAACCAGATGGTATTACTATCACCATAATTATATGAGCCACTATCAATCCATGACTAACATAAAAAGATTCTTAACCTTCATACAAACTATAACCAAATGGTAATATTCACTATTATGAACAAAATAACCATGGTGGATAACCATAACCAATATTAACACTAACCATATTCATAATATTCATAATAATATTACCACTACCTTCATAACCAATATGATTAACCAGCCGGTGGATTGAAATATCCAGGAGGCTGGTGGATGCACCCAGCCGCCCAGCCTTGACCCTGCTGGCACAAGGTGCTCCCGTCCAGGGAATGCGTCGCTCGGTACCTCGCAAAGGGACGTCGCGAAGGGGCAAACGTCCGGGCCGGTGGTGAGGTCAGAACAAATGGTCAGTAAATGGTATGTACATATACTGTAAACATATGTAATGGATAATTACTGTTATAATATACAGCAACCCCGTTGCAAACATGCTGAAGTTTGTGAAATCCGAATCTAAGATAGTGAAAAAGTACTTTTAGGCATCTTTTTCGGGCTTACGCTCTCACTCTCTCTCAATATGTATATATATATAAATAAATAAATAAATATATATATATATAATGTGTGTGTGTGAAATAACATGTATATATATGTATGAATGTATACATATATTTTATATATATATATATTATAGATATGTATATATATATATTATAAATATGTATATATATATATACATTACATGTGTATGTAGATATATATATATATGTACATTACATGTATATATTTTATATATGTATATAGAAACTCGAAATTCTGAGGCTTCAGGCAAACATCATAAAATCACATAAAATCATGGTTCCTCACTAAGCTTCGATCATTTTCCCAGTTAATCCCCTTTCATTACTCAAAGTCTTTTGGAACATATTGGAACCAGCATTTCCCATCATTTTCCACTTATAACTTATAACCATGAGTTGTCCCATCATGTTCCTTTCTTTCTTGGTTAAATCCCATTATATCCCCATTACATTTCCCATTCTCTGCCCATAAAGTGCTGTTAAATCAACATTCCCATGTTTTTTCCCATGATCTTGCTGGTAAACTCCCCCATTCCCCCATGATATTCCTATAGTTTTCATGGAAAAAAATCCAGAAAACTTAACCCCCCATTTCCCCCATTTCATGTTCTCATCTCAAAAATCACCCATGATTTTTGGTGCTTTCCCCCATGATTTTCCCCTCATTTGGCAGTGTGTCAAAACCTTGTACCCCTGTAGTTCACATCAAAATAGCTGGTAAATGGATGTTCATCCCACTAAAAATTGTATTTTCATAGGTATTGATCCATGGCCATTTTTCTCCAACCCCCAGCCCCCGGCACCTGCACCCAGCATCCGCGCCGCGTCTGCCTCCGGCCGCTTCGGCTTCGCCGAAGACGGCGGCCAGGACAGGTGCCCGCCGTGGCCGCCGTGGCCGCCGTGGCCGCCGTGGCCGGGCGGGGGAGCGCCGGCCTGGTGCTTGGAAAACCATAGGAAAACCATAGGAAAATGGTGATTTAACCACTATAAATGGTGATTTTCTATGGTTAACACTGGAGAATAATGGGATGACAATGGGATTTACCCTCTGGTAAACTTACGAAAAGCTATTGAAAATGGCCATAGAAATAGTGGATTTACCCATTGAAAATGGTGATTTTCTATAGATATGTTAGTTTATCAGAGGGTAAGTATCATAGAATATCATGGTGAATAATATGAATAATGTGAATTAGAAAATACAGTATATCATACTATTATCATGATGAATACACTATGAATATAATATGATTATAACAGTGTATCATGATGAATAATGATATGTATATATATATATATATGTGATATGAGTGGTGGACTAAATTACTTACTACCTGCAATGGACATCCCATGTCCACTCCCCACTGAGTCTTCCGCTAATTTTGTCGGTTACTCATGTACATAATGATATAACATTACCGCCAGACGCTGTGTGGTCTGTGGGTAATATTATATAATATGACTAATTGAATAAAGATATAACATTAATATGAATGAATCATGATAGTGACAGCTACTTAAAACATCTGAATATAGCTCAGAATATCTGAATACGATATTGGGGAAATATGGGGAAATCATGGTAAATCACAACATATCTGCTAAAAATAGTGTGATTCCCAATAACGGTTCGACATTCTTCGTGGTGACCTTGCCTCAAAGTCCTGTATCTCATCGAACAATGGCCAGGAATGCATGGGTCCCGCTTCCTCCCAGACCTTGAAAAAGCGGATTCCATGCGACACTTGAGGAAGCTGGGGATGAAAAATCTGATGTTGGATCAATGGTGGATTTACCCATTAGAAATGGTGATTTTCCATTGTTATGTTAGTTTACCAGAGGGTATCAACTTTGGATTTGTCACCTATGGCAAAAAAAAAACGGCAAGGAAAATCGATGCATTTTTTTTATGTTTGATATTTTGGAGAGCTACCCCAATCCGCTGAAACACAAAACTACACTGGCTGCCATCGTGTTTGATCCAAGGTGCATAAGTATTGCTGGCTTCATGGAGGATACAATACCTGGGTTTCAGTCTTCAGATGGCAAAAACAGCAGACTTGGAAGATGATTTGGAGGTTTCCTAAAGAGAGCGGGTAGTCATGGGGGGCGAGGTTGTGAAAGTCCTGATTTTGTTGTATTAGTCATTAAATTCATAATTATATCAGTCATTACATTAATCATTATATTAATCATAATAATATTCATTATATAAGTCATTAAATGAATCATTAGATTAATCATTATATTTATCATGATATGCCTCATGAAATTAATCATTATATTAATCATTATATATATGTAAAATCATTATATTAGTTATTTTATAAACCATTCAAAGAATCATTCAAATTAATCATTATATTTATCATTCTATGAACCAATTATATCATTTTATTTATCATTCATTAATCATGATATTAATCATTTTATTTGTCATTATAAAAGTCATGAAATGAATCATGAAATGAATCATTATATTTATAATGAAATGATTCATTATTTTAGTCGTTGTACAGAAAATTATACTAACCATTAAATTAATCATTAAATGAATCATCATATATATAATCATTGTTTTAGTCATTATATAAATCATTATATGAACCATTTTATTAATCATTATATTAGTCATTCAAATTAATCATTACATTATTCATTATATTAGTCATTGAATTAATCTTTTTATTAGCCATGATATTCATCGTTTTATTCATCATGATATGAATCATATTAGTCATTAAATTAATCATTATATTAATCATTATATTAATAATCTAAAGTTCATTATACTAGTCATTATATTTATCATTATATCAATTATTATATTAATCATGTTATTAATCATGAAAAAATACATATATAATCATTATATTAGTCATTATATTAGCCATTTTATTTATTGTTACATTAATCATTAAATTAATCATGAAATTAATGATTATATCAATCATTAAATCATCATTATATTAATCGTTTAACCAATCATTTCATTAATCATTCAATTAATCATTATAGAAATATGTCATGATATTAATCATTATAAGTCATTAAATTAATCATAATATAAATTATTAAGTTCATCATTATAATAGTCATTATTTTAATCATTTAATTAATCATTATAGTAATCATTATGTTAGTCATTTTATAAGTCATTAAATGAATCATTAGATAAATTATTATATTTATCATTATATGAATCATGATATAAATCATGATTTTAATCAGTATATGAATCATTTTATTAGTCATTATATAAGTCATTAAAAGAATCATGAAAAATATATTTATCATTCTATGAATCATGTTATTAATCATTATATTAGTCAATAAATTAAAAAAATATACCAGCCATTACATGAATCATTATATTAATCATTATATTAGTCATTATATGAATCATTAATTGAATCATGAAATGAATCATTATATTTATCATTATATGAATCATTATATTAACCATTTTATTAATAACTATATTAGTCAGTGTATTAGTCATTATATTAATTATTTCATTAATCATTATATGAATCATGATTATAATCATGATATTGATCATTTTTTTAATCATTATATTTATCATTATATGAATCATGATATTAATCATTATATTAAGCATGAAAATCATTATTATAGCAATGATTACATTGATCATTATATTGATCATTATATTAGTCATTTTATGAACCATGATATTATTTATTCAATAAATCAAGATAGATAGACATATACATATATATATATAATCATTATATTAGTCATGATATAAGTCATTAAATGAAGTTTGGTTGTCCATGTTTTTTTTGCAATTTGGCCTGGGGGGCGCAGGTGTGCAAATTGTAGAAACGCGCATTTTTTGAGAGGTATTGTGATGAAAGCATATTCATATGAAAAACATGCAAAACAACTATGGAAAAATCAAAAAAAAACAAGAAAAACAAAAAGTTCAGACCCATGGACAAGGTCTGGGGAGAGGCCTGGCTGGGGACATGGGTCTGAACTTTTTGTTTTTTTTTTGGTTTTTCCATTGTTTTTTGCAGTTTGGCCAAAACCTCGAGAAAATCTAAAAAAACAAAAAAAACACAAAGTTCAGACCCATGGGCAAGGTCTGGGGAGAGGCCTGGCAGGGGACATGGCTCTGAACTTTTTGTTTTTTTTGTTTTTTTTTGTTTTTCCATGTTTTTTTGCAATTTGGCCAAAATTTCGAGAAAACCAAAAAAAACAAAAAGTTCAGACCCATGGGCAAGGTCTGGGGAGAGGCCTGGCAGGGGACATGGGTCTGAACTTTTTGGTTTTTTTGGTTTTTTTGGTTTTTCCATTATTTTTTGCAGTTTGGCCAAAACTTCGAGAAAACCAAAAAGAACAAAAAAAACAAAAAGTTCAGACCCATGGGCAAGGTCTGGGGAGAGGCCTGGCAGGGGACATGGGTCTGAACTTTTTGTTTTTTTTGTTTTTTTTGGTTTTTCCATGTTTTTTTGCAATTTGGCCAAAACTTCGAGAAAACCAAAAAAAAACAAAAAAAAAACAAAAAGTTCAGACCCATGGGCAAGGTCTAGGGAGAGGCCTGGCAGGGGACATGGGTCTGAATTTTTTGTTTTTTTTGGTTTTTCCATTGTTTTTTGCAGTTTGGCCAAAATTTCGAGAAAACCAAAAAAACCAAAAAGTTCAGACCCATGGGCAAGGTCTGGGGAGAGGCCTGGCAGGGGACATGGGTCTGAACTTTTTGGTTTTTTTGGTTTTTTTGGTTGTTCCATTGTTTTTTGCAGTTTGGCCAAAACTTCGAGAAAACCAAAAAAACAAAAAAAACAAAAAGTTCAGACCCATGGGCAAGGTCTAGGGAGAGGCCTGGCAGGGGACATGGGTCTGAACTTTTTGTTTTTTTTGTTTTTTTTGGTTTCTCCATGTTTTTTTGCAATTTGGCATGGTTGTTTTTTTGAATGTTTTTCATGTGAAGATGCTTTCATCACAGTACCTCTCAAAAAATGCGCGTTTCTACAATTTGCACACCTGCGCCCCCCATGGGTACCCCTTCTGCCTAAAATGGGGGTACCCCGAAATCATCCATGGTATTTTCGGATTTTTCATTATGAACCAGCTATTGGGGATCCCCCATGCCTATACATGAAATTCCATGGCTTGCCAGTGGCAGATGCCAGGAGATTCTGACTAAACTTGGGCATAGATACCGTCGTCAAATGGTATACAGAACCATGGACTGACGGAGGGGTCTCTTTAACATAGCTATTGATTGACCCATTAATAGCATGCTGATTTTCCATAGCTATGTAAACGTTTACCAGAGGCTAATGACAATGATTCAAGCTGAAATTGGCTTTGGGGAGATCCAATTCCCATCTCCAAGCGACTTGAATTGCTGCCCCACTGGCACCTCCCAAGGGCTCCACGTGACGCGAGGTGGGAAATCCCCGTGGCCGAAAAACGGATGGGAAATTCATGGGAAAATCAGCGGAACAGTTCTGGAGAATTTCCAGAGAAATCCCAGGTTTTCTGGAGGTCTCGCGAACGCGAAAATCATCACTGGGGCATGAATTCTTCAGCAAGCCATCTTGGATTAATTACATTTAATTACTGGGTAAACTGGTCAATCCCCAAACACTGGTCTTCTGTTTTCGAAACAAGATGTGCATCAATAGGGTGAATCCAGGAATGGGATTCGGGGATTCCTGAGGCAGATGGATACCACTTCCATTGAATCCTGGTTGGATAAGAACGGGATTCCCCGTTATGGGATTGTTATAATCTCCAATGACTATTGGGTAATTTTCATCCCCAACTATTATTGGGTAATATAATCCCCAACTAATCATCAACCCTGCCAGGGGTGGAACGCAGCCACTGCTCAAATGAAAGTTCCAAAAGGGCCGATGGGCGATGTCTCTGATGGGTCATACTTCTGATGGCTACTGCTATTCCCTATTTAAGCAATCAACACGGCCTTGGTTCCAGAAGCTAATACTAGTTTCATATCTCATAATAGTCCGATATCTTATTGGTTATTTATCCATATATATATATGTATGTCATATCCCATGATCATGGTGCTTAAAACCATTTAAATCCTATATTTGCTCACAATAAACTATATGACTAATGGGTTCTATATCATTATGAACATAGTAATATGTATCATAGTATTAGTATATAAGCACAATAACCAATTTATTTATCAAATCAATCATTTATCCATCATTTTTTGTTGCTGTCTCGGATGAGATCCTCATATTTCCGTGCTGGTATATCCGTGGAGTTGTCCGTTAATAGTACATTAGTTGGGATTTTATAACCAGTTATATGGTATTACAATAGTTGGATATTGTTGGTATTGCTATTAGTTATACAAGTAGAATTCCATTTATTAGTAATAGTTTGGATTGTGATTACTAAAACCATTTCAAGCCTATAGTACTGATGACTGTAACTATCATAACCAGATTGTCCAATTGTTCATATAATAAGAAGTATTAAATGGGAAAATGGGATTGTAGGATTGTGTGGGATAATGTTGAAAATCATCCTATTGGTTAAATTATAGTTCGTTGTCCATGAGGAGGTTTCTTAAAGTGGGGGGTACCTCTAACAATCCCAGGACAATCATCCCATTAATCAGTATAGTACATGGAAACCATCCCATTAAAATGCCGGTTGCTTATAATGTGGCTAAAACAATCATAAACCATCCCCCAGTCATCACCATGTTTATAGGTGGTCTAACTCATTCCCAAATTGCTGGTTTATGACATTGTTTTACCCATATTAATCATCCCATTCATCATCCCATAATCCTTATATAATCCCTATATAATCCCATTAATCAACAATAATAAACCATCCCCCAGTCATCACCATGTTTATAGGTGGTCTAACCCATTCCCAAATTGCTGGTTTATGACATTGTTTTACCCACATTAATCATCCCATTCATCATCCCATAATCCTTATATAATCCCTATATAATCCCATTAATCAACAATAATAAACCATCCCCCAGTCATCAGCATTTTTATAGGTGGTCTAACCCATTCCCAAATTACATTGAATTGGATGTCCATAACTTCCTCTTCTTTTTGCCCCATGTTTGGCAAAACGGACCTTGGCTTCCGTGAAGGAGCCTTCCCACAATATGGCGCCTTCACGACACCAATTTGCCCCAGAAAAATGCTGGGTTTCATGGGATTCCACCAACCGAAATGGTGATTTTAATGGAGATGCACTGGTTTTGGGTGGCTAGTTCAGGCCGCCATCATGGGGGTATGACATGGTATGACTTTTTATGAAAATCATGGAAAGTTGTCATGTCGGAAAAAAAAAAAGTCATAATTACAATGGAATAACCGTTAGAAAAGGAGGAGTTATCAAGATCAAGTCACTGGAAGACCAGCGGACAAAAAAAAATGCCATGGTTAGGATCTGAAACACTCCCTTTATCTTTGGGGGGAGCTCGTGATTTTAACCCATACCCGGTTTCCCAGGTGATTGGCCAAGCCCAACAACACCAAGCCAAATAGGTGAAAATGTGCGTTTTTTCATGCTATTTCTACCAGATTCCATCCATGTCCATCCATTTTCCATCCAATTTCCCCTGTTTTAAACGGGACACTTGGAGAAGCTTTCTACAGGCATCGCTCATCGTTCCGATCGTTCCGAACGAGCAACCCGTGCCCACCAGATCCCGTCACCTTCTTCGATCTTCTTCTGCTTGAACTTCCAAGCCTTGGACAGTGAGGTACAGGATGGGGCCCCATAGTTGGCTAAGTTGGTTAAGTCCAATAAGTAGGTTTATCGGAAAAATCACATAATGTAACTATAGTTAAAGGAGATTATAAATCAACTTATAACTGGGGGGGCACCATCCTGTATTCTCTAGAATACCATATTGAAATTCCCCAGTACCTTAGGATTTGATTCTGCGATAGCTCCACCACTTTTGAAAAATCTCCGGATTGCTGAAGGGAGCAATCAAGTCTTGAAGGGGTTGCAGATTAGCATGGCCCCTGCGCAAAGATCCAAACAAATTGCACCAATCTGGTGCTGTATGGCTCAAGAAAAGGGGTGCAGTGCCTCACAACTGCAGCGTGGGTTATGAGCCCAAGGAGGTTCACGGTGTCGTCCTAAGGTGGGGCGCAACATGGAGCGGAGGCGAGAAAGCTCGCAAGCTCGTCGGGCTGCTGGTGGTGGTGCCGTGCAGCTGTCGGCAGAAGAACTGCTGGCGCAAATGGGCGCTGGTGGACCTGCGGGCGGCGGTGATGCTGGTAGTGGTGGGCAAGAGCTGGCTGAGGGGTTCCATGATGCCCTGTCGAGGGATGGCTCAGTGCAACCTCGCGCAACTGGTCCTGCGCAAGTGGAAGGGGGGGTTGTAGGTGTCCGAAGTGTTAGGATCCCGAAAAATGCGGGAACTGACGATGGGTCTGGTGCTCGTGGCATAGCAGGGGTTCCTAGAGCATTAGGGCCAGCCTCCTCAGGCGAATACGGTCAGGGCCAAAGCTCCTTGGATGGAGCCACTGGGGTTCCTCAGAGTTCCTTGGGTGGTGCCGCTATGGCACCTCAATGTGCCTTGGATGGTGCCGCTATGGCGCCTCAATGTGCCTTGGGTGGTGCCGCTATGGCACCTCAATGTGCCTTGGGTGGTGCCGCTATGGCGTCTCAGTGTGCCTTGGGTGGTGCCGCTATGGCGCCTCAATGTGCCTTGGATGGTGCTGCTATGGCGCCTCAATGTGCCTTGGGTGGTGCCGCTATGGCGTCTCAGTGTGCCTTGGGTGGTGCCGCTATGGCGCCTCAATGTGCCTTGGATGGTGCCGCTATGGCGCCTCAATGTGCCTTGGGTGGTGCCGCTATGGCGTCTCAATGTGCCTTGGGTGGTGCCGCTATGGCGTCTCAGTGTGCCTTGGGTGGTGCCGCTATGGCGTCTCAATGTGCCTTGGGTGGTGCCGCTATGGCGCCTCAGTGTGCCTTGGGTGGTGCCGCTATGGAGTCTCAATGTGCCTTGGGTGGTGTCGCTATGGCGCCTCAGTGTCGCTTGGATGGTGCAACCGGCACACCTCAACGTGCCTTGGTTGGGGCCATTAGGGCACCACAGAGCTCCTTGGGTGGCGGTGCGTCTGAAGCACCTCGTCCCTTGGTTGGGGCCGCTGATGCACCTCAAGGTGCCTTGTGTGGTGTTGGCAATTCACCTGATGTTGTAAGGGGTGGTCCGGTAGGAACTGCCGGGTCCTCACCTAGTGTTGGCCTCTTGGAAAGACCAGCCGGGGTCTTGGTTGAAAAGATCTGGGAACGGATCACAGGCGCCTTGGATGATGCGAATGATGCATCAAGGTTCGGAGCGCAATCTTCGGGTGGCACCGTGGGGGCATCTGGTCAGGGTCCCGTGGGAATAGGGATGATCGGTGACTTGGTCGGTACCTTTGATCCTGCTGGGATGCTTGGTTCGGGGGTTGAGTCGTTCGATATTTCCACGCCACGTGGAACAGCCGGTGCCTTGGGTGTGGAACAGCCACCGGGACTTGTTGTTGAGGGTAGGGTTATGGAAGAGCCCCAAATAGTACCCTTTTGGTCTCCCGAAAGAAAGGCTTATGAAAGGATGGGTTGTGAGTGGGAGAAAAATCAAAGGATGTCAGAGGGTGGACATGGTTCGGTCTCATACCAAACCGGCTCCGTGCCAGCGCTGTCAGCGGGTTTGGGAGTAGGTCAAGGGTTTGGAGTCCAATCACAAAATGAATCCCCCCCAAGAGATGTCTTGATGGATCCGGTTGAGCTGTTTCGGATTCGATGTATGAGGGATGCTGAAGAAAGGTTTAGGCGAGGTCTTCAACAGATTGCGTGTCCTGAACAAAACTCAGCGGGAACCTCGGGCGGGTCGTTTGCTACCGCTGTTGAAGAAACTGAAGGTTTTGTACCTCCACCTCCTCCGGGGCCGCCACCGGCCTCGCCACCTAGGGTTGGAAATGGTGGTATGGGTTCGGGAATGGAAGTTACTGGTGGTTTGGGTCATGGGTCCATGGGTCTGTTGATGCCATGTGGTGGCAACATGTTTGGCGCTGTGCCGCCGCCGCCTCCGCCCTTGCCGCCAGTGCCACCCATGCCGAGAGAGGGTGGAAATGCTGGAGGATTTGGGTTTGGGATTGGTGAAAACCCCAATGAAACTCTTCGTACGTTTGAGTTGCCTAAGCTGGATTCTAATGCAACACCACTGACGTTTGGGGATTGGTGGAGTCTCTTGGATTCACAAATGGGAGATTTGTCGTATTCCTCAGGGATTTGGTGGGGATTGGTGAAAGGGGCAGCGGAACGGTGTTACCGTGAGTGGTTGGTCTCTGATCCTGTGACTCGGCTGAGACTGCGGCCGACAGTGGATGCTGCCACGGCACGATGGCCGCGCACGGAACGAAGAGCCTTGGGTATGCTTCTCCAGGCAATTCCGGAGAATCTAAGGTCCGATCTCGTTGCCAGTCGGAGGTTGACAGTGGATCAAATTCTTTTCAAGCTCCTTGTCACATACCGACCGGGTGGTGCCTCTGAAAGGTCAAAGGTGCTGACTAGCATCACTGAGGGCCGGTGTGGGGACTCTCCGGGGGAAGTGTTGGAATGGGTGAGGAATTGGAGGAGAAACATCACACGTGCCAATGAGTTGGGTATAACCATTCCGGATGCCATGGTGTTAATGGGTGCCCTTCAACGATCACATGACATGTTGAGCATGAAATCACCTCAAGTTGCCTACCGTCTCAACACGATCCGTCAACAACTTGGCGTCGACCGTCAGCCGGTGTTTGGAGCCGTCTGGAGCTTTTCGGAACATCTTCAGACGGAAGCCGAGGAACTGATGATCAGTGGTTCGGTGCTGGTTGGTGATGGTGGTCCCCAAAAAGGGTCGAATCCCAAACCGGTTGTGAAATCCCTCCAAAATGTGGGTTCTACTGCCCCCCAAAAAGGTCAAGATGGGTCTAGGGATCCGCCGAAATCAAGTGCCTTGGCTTCAAATGTGAATGCAGGGTCAGTGACGTCAAAACATGCGTGTCGGTTTTGGGGTAAGGATGAAGGGTGTAAACATGCTGACAAGTGTCGGTTCGTACATGCCATGCTCAACCCAAAAGATGGACGATGTTTTTTGTGTTCAGCCTTGGGTCACTCAAAAAAGGATTGCCCAAATGCAGGAGGTGGGAAAAACGCGAAGGTCGCAAAAACGAAGAGTAAGGATTCCCCTCCCAAAAATAAGGGTTATGAAGGGAAGAAAGAAGTGAGGGTTCAAGATGAAGTTTCGAAATCATCGATCCCGGCTCCGGCTGGCGGACTTAGTGATTGTTGTGAGGACGTTGGATCGAAGAAAGGGTTGGACATGATAGACTCAGTTCACACCCTCATGAAGTCATTGACTCCCCACGTCAAGATGATTAACATGAAAAAGTCGAATGTGAACGAGCTCAAAACAGGTCTTCTGGATGGAGGTGCAACCAACGCCTTGCGTGTTGGGACTGCTCAGGAGCTGGCCGATGCGGTGCCAGTTCAGGTAGAGTTGGCGGCTGGGACCGCTCAGCTCTTCCAGGACCCCAACACTGGAACTCTCTTGACTAAGGAGGCTGTTGAACCGATTGTACCGTTGAGGGGGCTCATCAACTTAGGGTACCGAATTCAATGGGATACCAATGGTTGTGTCATCGAACACGGAAAACATGGCCGAATCAAGTGCTGGTTGCGAAATGGATGCCCTGTAGTTCTTGAAAACCATGCATTGCTGTTGATCGACGAGATCGAGGGGTATGAATGCTTTCAGCGCCTTGGTCCAAAAATTGCCATGGGTCAGGTAACGGAAGAGGTCATGGAGTGGTGGTCCCAACGGTTCCCTTTGGTACCCGAGTCGGTGGTCCAATACATGGTAGGGCAGGGGGAGAGTTGGGACTCGTCTCAACTGCCTTGGAACAGGAAAATGCGGAAGCGGTTTCAGGGAGCTAAGGGTCTGGTGATCCACCTGTTTGCTGGTGGTGGGAACAGTTGTAAGGATTGGGAAAAGGGTTGGCCGTCTGGATACGAAATGGTTGCTATTGACATTCAAGCCAATCCCCAAATGGACATCCATAACCGACATGTATGGGCGTACCTCACTTGGTTGGTTCAAAATGTCCCGGTTGTTGGTATCGTGGGTGGTCCCCCCTGTCGCACTGTATCTCGTCTTAGAAATATCCAGCCGGGTCCGGCGCCTCTCAGGGGCCGGTGGGAGAATCGGTTTGGGTTGCCTTCCATGTCTCAGACCAGCAAACTGAAAACAGATAGTGACTCCGCGTTATTCTTGAAGCAGTTGGGGTTGTATAGCCTTGCTAAGGAAAACCAGCACGAACATGCTCCTGATGTAGGGTTTCTGTTGGAGTCGCCTGAGGACCCTGCTGGATATGCCGGGGAAAAGCAAGCACCGAGTTTTTGGGCGTGGCCGGAATGGGAATATGTAACTCGGTTGGACCCCTCAATCCGTAGGATCTCCTTTGACCAAAAATGTTTTGGGCATACTCAAGTCAAACCAACCACAGTGGCTACGAATCTCCAAGGGTTTGGCGAGCTTGATGGTTGTCGGGCTGCAACTCGGGGGGAGCCACTCGCGAGTGACTTGGTGGAAAGGTTTCAGCAGACCAGCAGTTGGTCATGCTGGGCTCCTGGTCTGAAAAAGGTGGTGCGGGTAGCTTTGAGTTCACTGTGTCGGGCCCATGCAAATATGAACCCCGAATTAA